AGGCTGTGGTAGAGGTTCCTACAGATAGTCGTAGAAGTAGTAGTAATATAACAGTAGTAGGCTGCAGACGGGGGGTTCTCCGGGCGAAAACAACACAAGCAAATGTCAGACGAGTCGAAAACGCGGAGCCTGCCTGTGTTTCTGATAAGACGCGCTTGCTTTGATGCATTGAACAAGTTGTAAGGCAAACGCTTTTTTTCGCAAAAAATCCGCGCGAAGAAGTCGAACATGAACAGAGTAATGCCAGATTTGGACAAGGTGGTTTTCATCTCCTCAGTCAAGGTGTGGTTTCATGCTTTTTGCATGTCGCATTTCATGCTGAAAAAACCTTCAAAAATACTGCTGGCACCAGTGGAAAATGGATGTGGTGCTTTTTACAGTTTAAATCGCAGTACATTTGCACGGCCGAAGAAAAACTATGTGACTTGCATGTCATTTTATACTTTTGCAGCCGTAAGCTTCGACACAAAGAAAATTTGTGTCTGCTTGTAATTTGTAGGGTCCTAGGTCCCCTAGGCGTGTCTACGCTATACGTGTGCAGCACCTGTTGTTCGTAGCTACTTGTACATATACTGTACTCTTCAGTCAGCTTAACAGCATAATTCATGTTGCTTTTGGCTCCTGACCACTAGAGCCCGCACTTGCACCGCTCGCCATAGAAAAGTGTGCTCTCTGCCGTTCGCACACTTCCACGCTCCGCTATCGAGTCTATTGGGTCTTACTTGGTGTTATCGATCAGCTTGGGGAACTTACCCCGCACCCCCCGCCAACCCCACCCCTCCCACCCCTTTTAATCACACGACTAATCGATCACAATGTTGTGGTCATGACAATGCTGTGATCGATGACAATGTTGTGATCGATGACAATGTTGTGATGCTGAAGTCCCCGATGTCCGCGATGATGCTAACGTCCCCGGAGAACCAGTCCAGAACCTAGTAGTAGCAGTGGCACCAGTAGGCGCAGTGGGTCATAGCGGTAGTCGTTGGTGGTGGTATAGTGGCAGTAGTAGTAGTCTTCGTCGTGGTGGTTGTAGCAGTAATAGTAATAGTAGTAGTAGTAGTAGTAGTAGTAGTAGTAGGAAGTTATGATTATAGTGGCGGACAACCACTTTCAACATCTTTTTGAAAAACTGCACTGGTAGGGATGTTCTAAGCGTAACGCTAAGAACATTGTACCATTGCACTGTTCTAAGTAATGAGTTAGAACATTGAGGAAAATTCCTTTCTTAGAATGACATTAAGGTTGAAACGATCCGGTTCCGGTTCGGTTTGGCGTTGCATCAATTTCTATCGGTTTGATACTTCGATTTTAATTTTTTATCGGTTCGGTTGAATTTTCATTATTGCAAGTATTGCTTTCCCTTCGGTTCGGTTGTAGGTTCGGTTCGGTTTGCAGCACCAGCAGCGTCGAGGACAAAATCGGGCGGCGGCCACCTCACCAAGACCAAGGCAGGGTTGACCTAGGAAAAATAACAGCCTCCAGGTAGCGCGGGTGAAGGATGAACCATGCATGTTGGGAAAGGCGGAGTTTATACTACGTTTAGGCCATGCTTTTCTCAAGGAATTCACGGCTCCCTACCAGAGCTCTCGCGCTTTCCCCCGCAAAAAGGTCTAAGCCCACTAAAGAAGGCGGAAACCATGTCCAGGTGATTTTTCACACAGTCTGCGATTTGATTGGCAACCCAAGACTACGGATGCCAAGGGAGAATGTTGGCAAAGGCCGGGCTCATACCATGTTTAGGCGTCTAAACTCACTAAAGGAGGCTAAAGGGCGGAAACCATCTTCAGGTGATTTTTCACACAGGTTGCAATTTGAATAGCAACCTAAGACTGTGGATGCGAAGGGGGAATGTTGGCCTCACCCCAAACATTCAAGTGTGAAAGGGGCAGGGCCAAAGGGGTATAAACGCATTTCAAGCGTAGTATAAGCTTGCCCATGCCCTGCGCTTGTGACTCTTCCTCTTTCGCTCCCTCTCTCTCTCTCTCTGTCCCTCTCTCTCTTCAAGACCTGCTCCTTTGGGCCGGGTGCGAACGGTGAAAACCTATTAGAGAACCCGCTCCGTCCCGTAGATTGACAGCAAAAACAAGCTTCCAGCTCTATGTCTGCTCAGGAGTGGCCAGAACCTACCAAAAACGATAAAATTAAGGAAGTTCCGGACTTGCAGTGTGCGACCAAGGATTTAGCCAATCATGAAAAATGAATTTTCTCAGGGGTGAAAAAAGGCTCAAGAACAAAGGATGTATACCCACGGTCTAAATGGAGTACCAAAATATAAAGGCTGAATGGAGGGTGTGTGTGTGTCCCTTGTAATCACAGGGATTCTTTTTGAATTGTTTTTGAGCAGGGGGCAGAGGGATCTCCAGTTGTGGCCTCTGCCAACGGAGCTCCACACTAGGATGATCACGAAAACGTACCTGCTTGGTGCACCTGGGCGCATTCTAAGACGCAGCCGGTGGCCACCTTCTTTCCTTTTAGTAAAGTGCTAACGCAGCTGCAGTCATCATCCTGTCGGATTGACCTCGCCTTGAGTTTTTGGCCTCACTTCCTTTTGAAGACCCCCAGGCTCTTTAGGGCTTTCGTGGACCTTTCAGGATTTGGGTTCTTAGGCTGGCGTGTGGCATGTGGCGTTCAGTTCAGTACACCAAATCATAAGTGTGTCTCTCCCAGTGAGAGTCCAGGGTGAGCCCGAAGAGTGCCCCCTGACCCGTCGAACGGGTGTTAGTCCATTGTTCCCCCTGCCCGGAAACGTAGGCGTCCAAAGCGGACAGCAGGAGGCTTATGCCAAAGTTATTTGCCAAGACTTGACGGATTCTTGAATTCCAAGCTGGCTCATGCCGTTACGTGACCGCAGCGGTCTAAGCAGCCAGCCATTTTGGCAGGGCACAAGGTGACCACAGCGGTCAAAGCATTTTTGAGGCTGGTTGGAACCTGTCGAGAGCTTAGCCTCCCCCCCTTCTCTTCCCCCTTCGCTTGTTGGGGTGTTCCTGAATGTAATACTCAGGTTCACCCTTCTCCCTGGTGTCCTCCTTCTCTTTCTCTTTTCCCTCCCTCTCTTTTCTCCTTCCTTTCCTTTCCCTCTTGTTGTTTGGGTGTCCCTGGATGCTTTCGTCATAGCTGGGAACCCTTCTCTTCTCTTGGTGTGTCCTTGGACGCTTGTGTCGTAGCTGGGAACACCTTCTTTTCCTTTCCCTTTTCCTTTTTCTTTTTTCTCTTCTCTCCCTACCCTCCCTCCCGTCGGGGCCTTAGAGTGGGATGCTGCTAGGAGGTTGTGGGTGCAAGGACGCTACTAGGTAAGAGCGCCTCCCCTTGAGAGGCGTGTGTGTGTGTGTGCCCCTTCTAATCACAGGGATTCTTTTTGAATTGTTTTTGAGCAGGGGGCAGAGGGATCTCCAGTTGTGGCCTCTGCCAACGAAGCTCCACACTAGGATGATCACGAAAACGTACCTGCTTGGTGCACCTGCACACGCATTGTAAGACGCAGCTGGTTGCCACCTTCTTTCCTTTTAGTAAAGTGCTAATGCAGCTGCAGTCATCATCCTGTCGGATTGACCTCGCCTTGAGTTTTTGGCCTCACTTCCTTTTGAAGACCCCCAGGCTCTTTAGGGCTTTCGTGGACCTTTCAGGATTTGGGTTCTTAGGCTGGCGTGTGGCATGTGGCATTCAGTTCAGTACACCAAATCATAAGTGTGTGTGGAAAAGGGATCAGCAAAGTTTGCCTCCGCGAAGTTGGTGCATTAAACCTTCCCGAAAATTTAGTAGTCAAGGTTGTTGCAGAATGGTCTTTGTGAGGCAGCCGCGCAATCGGTTCGGTTTCGGCGTCGGTTTGCGTGATTTTTCTCGGCTCGGTATCGGCTCGATGGCACGACTTTTTTGTCGGTTCGTTTCGGTTTTCGATTTGCGGCGATTGCAATCGGTTTGGTTCGGTCTGCGTCGGTTTCGGCTTCGGTAGTCCAATTTGTATGTTGAAATATCCATGATTACTATAAAGGATATGAGAACGAGAGAATGCACAGTTGATGAGCAGTGTGGAGATGCGCTTGTCTGCAGACTCTCGGCTGCATGCTTAACAATGATGTTCTAAGTAAGGGTAGATGCTCTAAGAAATGGGGATTTGAGCATGTTCTATCTCGAAGCGCAAAGGTTCCAAGCCT